TCGTTGAGATGATGGTAAGAAGGGTGGTATGTGTTCCTGGCAGGAGAAGAAGTGGAATCAAGCATTTGAAGAGTGCAACAGGATATAAAGGAAAGATGGTAAGAGTTAGAAAGTTCAGGTAGGAAGAAACACTTGAATGATTTGATCTGAGTATGAGCAAGGAAGTTGATGGGGTGGAAAGAGGACTCCTTCGCTGAGATCGTTTTGGTGTGTAGTGTGGTGTGTGTGTGTGATGTGTCTGAGGTTATCCAGCTGGTTGTTCCCAGTCTTTCTCCTTCCCACCACCTGCTGTTTAAGTTTAGCTGCCTCCCTCGGCTGGTTCTGTGAAGTCGTAGGGAGTCCTGCGGCTCACCTGAGGTTCTAGAGAGGGTAGATGATGTAAGAAACCAAGGAGCATGGAAGAAGCCAGGTGGGGGAGGTCTAAGAAGTCCTTGGAACAGTGGAAACCCCAAGGAAGGACTAGACCTAGGTGAGAAGGAAGAGGCCCTCTTGGGTGGGGAGGAGTGGTGGGGGTGATTCCAGGAGTTCCTGAGGTGTGACTTGAGGGGGGGGGGGGGGTTGCTGGAGAGAAAACAGGGGGGTGAAGCGAAAGAGCCCGTGTGCCGGGAAGTGGCTGCGAGGGGGCTGGTAAAGGAGGCCGGGAGCCGTTCTGCAGGGGGTGGGGGAGGGAGGAGGGGCATTGAGGGGAGGGTGGCCCTGGGACATCCCAGGACCCGGCGGGATCCGGTGAAGGGTGCCGGCGCAGGGGCTGAGCGAGGAGGAGCCAAGGGCCCAGCTTCTCCCGCCGTCTCTCTCACCTGCCAGAGCCGCCCCGACGGTGGTGATGAGGACGGCCACCAGGACCCCGACGGAGGGGATGCCGTTCTTGAGCACCAGGGCGCCGATGAGCAGGGTGACGAGGGGCAGGCAGCGCTTGAAGACCACGTACATGGGCAGGCTGAGGCCGCGCAGGGACCAGAGCGTGAGGCTGGACTGCAGGGTGGAGAGCACCGTGACCCCGGCGAAGAGGCGCGCCAGGCTGAAGCCGAAGGGCGGCAGGTCCAGGGCGCCCCGCCGCCGCAGCACCTCCAGGCTGAGCGCCGCCGTGGAGCTGGTCAGGCACTGCAGCAGCG